ATCGAATGCGATTGTCATGCGCATGGTTAAAAAAGCCGGTTCTGTAATCAGCAGGAAATCATCATCACATGCTTTCAGATGGAGCAGAATTTACTACACATAGCCGTAGTTCACTGACAAGTTACGCCAAAAAAATTGCACGATTAAAATCTGAATTAATATTAAAAATACAATTTTATTGAGCGATTATGAAATCGTTCGCGATAATGACCGCTGTTTGCATAGCTTCTCAGTAAACTACGGCTCTGTGAAGTAAATGCTGCTCCATCTGAAAGCATGTGAAAAAAACACATTTAATAACACGGAGGCAGATCAAGTGAATGCAGTTATTATTATTATTATTATTATTGTTTTTTTTTCCAAGATTAACATAATTTCATGACTATAACAATTTTTATGTTTTCATTAATTCAAGGCAGGATAGAAATCATGAGATTGACCATAAATATTTGATTTAATTAAAGAATTGTATTTTATAATAATTGTATTATTTTACAAACCTGTCTTCACGAAATAATGCTTAGGCCTAATATTTTTAGGGCTGTGCAGATGGAGCGGCATTTACTACACAGAGCTGTAGTTCACTGACAAGCTACACAAAATCGCGTTCAAAATCGCAGGCGATTCATTGCCGATTTACTGACGAGATTCGCATGAAAATCGCATTCGATTTTTTTTTTCCCAGCCCTACACTCATTTTAATAACATTATAAATTGACATCAGGGGACAAAAAAATAATAATAATGAAAAAAAAAAAAGTGTTGTGTGATCCCTTTAAGAAATGAATTATTGAACGCTGAATTCTGAGAGTGAGACTTTTCTCTGGATATGAAACCAAGTTAAACAAAGTTGAGGATATGAAACAAGTCAACATAAAAATAGTTAACATAAAAGTACCTGAGATTAACATAACGAGAAGTGAAATGCTTGACATCTAATTCATGAAAATCACTCTTCCAGAATTTTGGTTAAGGATTTCCTTGTTAAACCTCACCCAAGTTATGCAAAGCGTTTGTACACAGAACTTTTTCAGAATTGTTTAAATCTGGTTGGACATAGAACCGTTTGCAAGTTATTCATGTTGGTTTTAGTTTAGAAAGGAACTTTATTTATGATGAAACAGAGAACCGCATTGTTCACCATGATGTTTTTACTTCTCTGTAATTACTGTGGTGTAATTTTTAACTCTTTCCCTTCCAGTATTTTGGAAAAAAGTTGCCAGCCACCACCAGCATTTTTGATGATTTTCACAAACATTTCATGGCCCCCAGAATATATTGTTTTATGAATATCTGAACATGCAATACATCAAAATAAAGAAAAAAAAACAGTTTTATTCTAGCTTCAAGCATTTTTTTTTTATCAACACTTTATTGTAGTAAGTTTTATAAAAAAAAAAAAAAAGCCACATTTTGAGCAAAAAACAGAAAATCAAGTTTTTATCAAATACTACATCTGGATCATATTAAGTAGGATGATCGAAGCAAAGATGCAGTAGATCGCTTCCATCAGCACCCCCAAAGCTTACAGTCCTTTACCACTTCCTGGATCGACATTTCACTCGGTAACATTAGGCAGTTTTCATTTATATGCTGTTTATTGTTGATGATCGCATTGTTTTTCATATGCATATGCATACATATGACATTGCTCATTTCTAAGTCTTCCTCACATGTGTTTTTGATCGGCACATTCTAGACTCATTCAGGAGATGCGTAATAGCGCCCCCGAGCGTATAACAGCGAGAACGCGGAAACCCGGAAAATTCCATGTTTGGCGGGGAAAGAGTTAATAAGACAATCCACAATAAAGAACCAAAAAAAGTCTTTCAAAAATCTAGTTTAGAACATGTGCCAAATTCATAGAAATGTTCCCTTTGTATAAATATTCTTTTATATGAGAAATGAGAAATCTATTTTGCGTTAAACAGATTGTTTTTTAAAGTCGGTGCTTGAAATAAAGCTGCTCTTAATTTTCATTGATGACTGCTGTGTTAATTATTTTAATTATAGGCCTATAATTTAATTTATAAAGTAATAGACCTGTTTTAAAAGACCTTTTTAAAAACATTTTAAATGAGGAGTAAACTAATAGCCTAATCTTTTGTTATCCTCACAGTGCGTCAGTTATGCGGTGATGTGGTATGAAATTATTGCGGGGCAGATTAATTGTAATTTAATAATAAAAGTAACCTAATAATAAAAATAGGCCTAATAATAAGAAGAATGTAACAAGCCTACATTAATTGGAAATGCCAAATCCCCTTAATATTGCCAATATTTGATGCTTTTAACAATATCTCTGGCTATAGTCGACACATGATACGACGCAACCCAGCACAGGGAGGTTATCGCAGGGCCCCCCCGCAGTGCATGCCCGTCCACTACGCCACTGATTTTAGGTCAGTGTTTTAGCTGGCAGTCAATGATGCTCTCTGCCGGTAGGGAATAATAAGATGGAGGCTCGAACACGTCTGGTGGCTGACGGCAGTTTAGAACGCAATGAGCAATCCAGTCATTATAAAGATCAGTGATTGTACCTCATGATATTGATGGCAAATGTTAATAAGCTTTGAAGAAGTTGTGTTTAGGGCTGGGTATCGAGTTCAATACTTTTTAGGCACCGACCGTATTGCCATAATACCATTGAGAATCGAAAAATATCTTGTCGTTCGGTACCAAATTTCGATGCATAAGGGGTTAATCTCATCGTCAGTGAGCCAATCTCAACGTCAGTGAGCCAATAAGCATGCAGCATGCTTGATGTGCCTAAATCAAGTGCTGGTGATTGGCTCTGGAGAGGCATCAAGGACAAACAGTAGTTTACACCGATAACACCCATTGACGTGGCTCACACTCCCATAGACGTAAGGCTATGTTTACACTAGTGCTTATCCTCGTCCATACTGGCGTTTCCACTGTTTCAGAAAAGATCTCTGTCCACACTACATGTGACCATTCATGCACACTGTAGCATCATGCTATATAAGCCAATTTATAAGATTTATACTATGCTTTTACTCAAAACTCATTTAAAAAATTGAGTGTTTGTAATAACTTCCGATTGCGATCTAATGTGTGTTTTGGCCATATAATGTTGCTGAAATATGCTATTTGTAGCCTTTTATATCAAGCTAATCACTACAGCCGCTTAGCATTTCTCATGTAAACACCCTGTATTGTTATGAAAATAAGCAGAATCTCATGATAATCACATACAAATCATATACTATTTTAATCATGTGTTTATTAGCTTCATGTTTCATCCATAGAAATGTTTTTCTGGGTTTCTTATGTACAGAACTGAATGTGGAAGTGTAATGACGAGGAAGTTTTCATCAGTAAATCAGTGGAAAATGAATAGAAACGATGATTCTGTCTGAGCTATGCGTTTTAAAACCAAGATGCACTAGTGTAAACGTAGCCTAAAAGATGTGGAAACTCAAAACTATTTGAACTTTATTAAAGGGGTCCTATTATGCTTTTTCACTTTTTCAACTTTAGTTAGTCTGTAATGTTGCTGTTTGAGCATAAAAAAGGTCTGCAAAGTTACAAAGCACAAAGTCCAGTTCAAAACCACAACCTAGTATGAGAGCCTGTTCTAGTACACCCCCAAAACAAAATCAAGACTTTATAAAAGAGCATAATAGGACACCTTTAAAACTTTTTGCACTGATTTATTGTGTTGGTTAAATTTTGCTCCTTTGTGCAGTGGCTCAGGAGTCTTTGAGTCTGTAAAAACCTCAACAAGCTGACAAAATAAAAGTTTTTTGAGGTAATGTAATCTTGTTAAAAAAAAGTATCATTCAGGAACCGGTATTGATGTCAAGGTATTGGTATCGATATTGAACATTTTTGAATGAAACCAACCCTAGTTGTGTTAAAATATGTTTTTAATTTCATTAAAAATTAAATGTACTTCAAGAAATAATAATAAATAATAGAAGACTATGCCAAAATATTAAATTTTTTGTTAAATAATTTTATTTTTAATTGGCTTTTTTCTTAATTATAATATCAATAATAGGTTGTTAATCCTTTATTATATATTGAATGTGAGGTGCTTATAAGAAAGCTCACTCTACTTGTTTTTCAGACTTAAGCTTTGTTTATCTTAGCAGTGTCTGTAACAGATTGCACAATTGTAGTAATTCTCTCCTCACCAGAATAACAACATGTGCTCTTGGCAACAGAGTGCATTTTCAGACATGACTGTAAAAATATTCGCTTTTGAGCAAAGTGTTAAAAGCGTATAAACAACCAAGTATGACTTTAAGGATTAAAATAGCATTTTTCTGTCTTTACTTATGTCTGGCATATTCATTATCTGTGTTGTCCATTAAATACGTTAATTTAATGTTGTCCATTAAATATAAAGTCCTGATGATCTAAATATTTATTTTTCGTACGAGAAGCAACAATGTACTGAATGCTAATGTAGGTGCAGTATGCAGATAAGCTATGCTATCATGCTTTGTGTTGAGGTGAATGAACAATGCAGAAAGGGATTGTTTTGTTATTGTGTTTTGGTGCGAGTGTAATGACATTCGCTGCCTCTGTTCATTAGACTTTCCGCCCCCTCCTCCTCCACTTGATGATGCAGAGCTTCCAGCCCCTCCTCCAGAATGCCAAATCATACCCCCTGTATCTGATGCCCCTCCTCCTGCATTCCCAGCACCGCCCCCAGTTGCAGAGGACCTGAACCTCCCTGCATCTCCTGAGGAATTAACCTCTGTACCTTCTGTCTCCTTCCCCCCAACCCCACCACCACCTCCCCCTCCTCCTCCTCCTCCCCCTAAGACAAGTGCAGGTGTCAGCTCTCAGGTAGGTTTCCAAATATTTGATTTAATTTCAATTTGATTTTAATCTTAACCAGTTTTTTCTTGCCCTTATATCATTCTCAATCTTTATGACTTTCTTATGTCTTTTACTTTAAGATTAAAATGCTGTTGCACTATACTGACCACAGTTTCATCCCTTTTCAAACCTATATAACTCCATTCTGATCAGTGATGCACCAAAATTATTCATTTCCTGGAACACCGAGACTGAAATTCAAATTTTAATTTAGCTGAAAACTAGGGATGCACCGATACCACTTTTTCCAGTACTCACCCGATACCGATACTTTTATTTTTGGTACTTGCCGATACCGAGTACCGATGCCGATATTTTTATTGCATTTGTAAATTTTTTAAATATTGGGTACAGAAACCAAAAGGGTATGTATAATGTTAGTTGGTTAACTTCATTTATCAAATAGATACAGTCAAACCAAAATTTATTCAGACACCTTCAACATTTCTCACATTATCACAGTTTATTCGCTATAGTTTAGAAAATGGTAATAAAATATGACAAGAACTCAGAGTTACACTGTGTCAGAACAAATTCATCTTGATAATGTTAGATAATTTTGATAGAAAGGTATGTAATAGATTACAATCAACCAAAATAATTCAGACAGCTGTTAGTATGACAGTATTTACACAACTATGAATACTTTGTCGGGCAACCCTTAGCCTTAATGACAGCCTGTAGTCTCCTGGGCATGCTGTCATCCAGCTTCATAAAAACCTCAACTTCATTTTTTTTCCAATACTCGGTCTGAATAATTTTTGGACCCAAATTTGTATC